CTAAGTTTTATTGAAACAATTTTCTTAGTTGTTTCGTTTTTGAGTGTTCAATATTTCTCTTTTGCGACATTGCATGCCTATTTATATAGCTTGTACAGTTATTTTTTTATAATCAATCAATCTGAATGTACCACTTTCTTTGGAAATAAATGATGTATTATTATTATTACCATTACTTCCAGTCCGCTAAGATTTTGGTATATTCTCTCGTGTCTTATACCATACCCAAAAGGGGAATTAAGCCTACAATAAAACAACGTCAAGCGTGCGAGTGTAAAATTTGTCACGCAGAATTTAAGCTCACTCGATCGACCGGAATCGTTTAGATCTGTCGACGTCTTGGGGTAAAAAATTTAAAATTGCACTTCGAATGAAGATATTTATCCCCATTTTAATCGACGGAATTCAATTGTTGAATTTATTTCAAAGTATCTCTAGTGAACAAGTTGTTAAGTAATGTTGGTAAACGTTAGGCTGCTGGGTATGAATTGTTTTAAGCACATTTTTAACTAAAATATAATACAAATTATAAAATACATCAATGGCGCTACTAATCGTTTTGGGTCTGGGCTTAAAATCTTTGTATGTGTTTCATGATCATTTGTCAATTTAATTTAGGTGATCAGCCTCCTGTGTCTGACGAACGTCGACTTTTTGGGTCTAACGCAAGCCGGTTTCCTCACGATGTTTTCCTTCGACGGGGATCGAATATACGACCTCAGGGATGAGGGTCGCACGCTGAAGCTCAGCACTGCTCTTTTATATTACTACAAGTGGACCCCGCAAACGTTTGTTTTGTCCATGTATGATATTTATAGGAAACATTTGATTAGTTCAATAATAAGCAAACTATCGAAATAATAGATCCCACGAGAATGCCATCTGCCGGGCTCCGATTTGTGACATCCTACACCATGTCCCAGAGTCTTTGTTCTTAACATATATTTCTCAAAATCGTTAAAGTCGTGTGGACAGGAGTTCAGCTCACATACAAACGTACAGAAGAAATATATATATAAGATATTATTGCCAAAGTTCTTGACTTCCGTTAAACGCCTTTGATTTGACAACTGCAGTAAATGATTTCTTAAAACATTTTTTAAGTTCAATAAAATACCTACTTAATCTATAATAATAAAAAATAGGGGTTGATCGTAGAGGGATGAAAATTAGGGGTTGTATTTTTGTATGCTGTATCATAAAAAAATATAAACAAAAAAAAAAAAAATAAAAAAAATTGTTGCCCTTATTACTGAGGGGCTTGAAATATACATAGTAGCCGATTCTCAGACTTACTGAATAGGCATAAAAAAATTTCATAAGAATCGGCCGAGCCGTTTCGGAGGAGTATGGGAACGACCAGAGTAAAACGAAAATTATATATATATAGAGATTACACATTCTAACATACAGCCCTGCGATTCTGTCGTGAAGCATCATTTTACTGTTTGGAATTCTCACACAGCGGTTACGCTTCGCGTCGCTTTGAAATCAGTGCGACTGCCGAAGCAAAACCATTTTGTGATTTGGCATTGTGAGTTACAGAATCGCAGGGCTGGTAATAAAAATGAATATTCAAAATTCTTAATTTAAAATTGTATTTGTAATACAGAATACATCAACGACTGATATTATAACGACCCCGATCTAAAAAGGTTGTAGCGCCACTGATTTATTTATTTTTATTTAATAATAATACAATCTTGCTAATAAGGCCGTTACAGTATGGTGAAGTACATGAGGTGATAATAGAAATATCATGTAGTTTGAGTGACAAACGACGCAGTGACCAGCAAATAGCAATTACGACGATTTGATTAGCGTCACCAATAGATTAGCATTAGCTGATTAATTCGCAATCAGGGATGGTATGGTCCTTTTTCGCAAGCATTCGTATTAAACATAAGCTGTTAGAGATACAATACAATGCGCAGAGGCGATGAGAACTTGGAGAAAATAAGGCCAATCACGTAGCCGTTCACCAACCAGATGGACGGATCTTTGACGGACTCGGTTATAGGAGAGCCGCTGGACTGAAAGCGGTAGAAAAAGATTGTCAGCTCCAGATGTTTCCTTGCTGACGTCAACGCTCAGACATTAGCTACCGCCTGAAGAGAGAGAGAGTGGATCTATTGCTTTCACTCATAATATATTATTACTAAGTATTAGACTACTACTCTTCTATAACCTCTCCTATAAAGGGATATTTTAAAGAGACTCTTTTCTTCAATTTGACTGATAATTATTAATACTTAATTTGTTAATTCGGCTTAGGGCACTTCAAGTAAAGAACTGGCGAGCCCTCTGGCATCGAGCTCATCTGATGTTAAGTGAATCCAAACATTCGGTAAAACAAAAGGTTAAAAATCTAATATGTAAAATTCTCGTGTCACAATGTTCGTTCCCATACTCCTCCGAAACGACTCGACCAATTCTTATGAAATTTTTTATGTATATTCAGTAAGTCTGAGAATCGGCTACTATCTATCTTTCAAACCCCTGAGTGGGACCTTTCCACCCCAAAATTTTTATTTTTATTTTTTAGACATTTTTTTTGTTTTTTTTGTACGATACAGCCTTGCTATTCTGTAACTCACTTAATTGGCATTCCGATAAACAATAAACTACAAGCTCCCTCCTTATTAGAATGCCAAATCGTAAAATGACTGCTTCACGACTGATTTGAGCGCGACCGCCGCTGCGAAAACTGCAGTGAGAGTTCGAAAATGAGTTACAGAATCGCAAGGCAGCATACAAAAATACATACAAGCCCTAATTTTCACCCCTCTACGATAAACACCCATTTTTTTATTATAGTAGATAGTTATTTTTATTGAACTAAAAAAATGTTTCATAGAAATAATATACATGGCAAAACAACGTTTGCCGGGTCAGATAGTCTATTTATAAAATACTAGCTGGCCTGGCGAACATCGTACCGCCTAACAGTCGATTCTTTATTTTTTTAAATACTTATTCTGCTATTCGGGACACCGGTCTAGCTAAGATAAAAAAAGAAAGTTGATAAGACAACAAATACATTATGTCAAAAAATAAAAATTTACCTTCCCGGATCCCCTCCACTAATACTTGAACTTTAAGATATGGTATTAAAGTTCAAATTGTCTTTTAAGTATTATTACGAATATTATGTATGGGAATATAGAAAAGTGTTGTTTTTAGACTTTTTCACTCAACTTTTTTAATTTTTCTCTCCGTAAGAACCATCCTCGTACTTCAAAGAATATTATTAAAAAAGAATTGGTCAAATCGGTCAAGCCGTTTTCATGTTATGTCGTGACAACGGAAAACGGGTTTCATTTTTATATATATAGATGAAATGTCCTTCTATAATTAAAAAATATACTTCTAGAATTCTGTATTTAGCTATGGACGTGACATTTAGCTAAAAGCGTGGATCTTTTTGTAAACGCAACTGCGACTGAATGTAAAATAGGACACTGAATTAGGAGTGGAGCTAACTTAGTTTTACACGTCACGCACATGTGTCGCTGGCACATACGCTATTAGTGATAATAGATGCTTATTATCATCATGTACGTGTAGATTGATTTATCGGTTTTATTAACATGACAATCAAATATACAGTATTCTTAACTTACATAAAAAGAGAAAAAAACCAGTGGCGCTACAACCTTTTTAGGCCTGGGCCTCAGATTTCTGAATCTTTTTCATAATCATTTTATTTTTAATCTATTAGGCAAGTGCTCTTAACCTACAGAATAAAATAAAAGCAATAAAAAATTAATAAATAGAAAATTAAAACACATTTAAAAGGCATGGTCCTGTGGCAGTGTACCTTCAACGGTGGCAGCATTTCCTCGCTGCATTGCGATACTTATTCGTGGCGAGAAAAACGACCTTCACTCTTATGGTAAGGGTGGCCATGGTGTTCAAGGCTACTTATTTCAAAGCCATAGGGACAAGAGAATAAGTTTAAGAATGATTCTTGAAAATGAGTTGCAGCACATATAATTTAAATATTTCGTTTGTTCTTCTCAGACCAAATTGCGTTTTTGAACATTGTCATATCTGGGCAAGTTTTAAGTAAATATTTCGTCTCATTCTGTCAAACTGTGTTTACGCTGTGATAAAAAGTTATGCCTGACTCTAGTTAAACTTTTAATCGAGTATGTTCCAATATGGAAGCATCATCACCTTGATGGAAGTCTTGGAGATTCGACCGCCAATTATTGAAATAAATAATATACTTCTCCCTTAAACACCGGCAACGCCGAAACCTTCCCGTGAAATTGTGGCCTGTCTTTGGATGCTAATTTGACATGGTATTAATCATCATATTATCTTGTATTGACTTAGTGATATAGAGTTTATAAGTATATTTATAGACTGTATAATGTATATAAGTAACTTATATACATTGGGTCTTCAATTGAATGTGTGGCGTCCTCGTCGTCATTGGTAGCTGAAATAAAATTACCAAAATAAATTATATATTAAATTACAAAAAATGCACTTACCAACTTTTACGTATAGACCGTGTCTATTGTTCTCCGCGGCAGACGGGGGGCGAGGCACGCGCATTCCACAGCGCCAGGGTTGCCATCCGTACGAGGTTTCTCGTACAAATACGAGATTAAGAGGTCCTGGTACGAGGTACGAGGTCACATCCATCCTCGTACAAAATTGTACGAGATTCACTGACACAAATTTTAATTTTGATCCGTGGATACAAATTATAATTTTGGAACGCACCTTATATTAAAACGACATACACTGCTGCTTTCTCTGAAAGTTATAAGCATCATAAGCAGCAGTGTACATCGTTTTCCGGCAATCGTTCTCTACCGCTAGGGAATTCCCCCGATATAAACTGCGAAAATTTTAAGATTTTATGTTTGTAGCAATGAGTTTGTATTCATTAGCTTGTTGTGGTCTGTTACGCACATGTACATACTCTCTTTCAAAACAAATAAGTTTCTTGTGTTGTGAGTGTGATTGCGTTGCATTGCTTAATAATGGAAAAAAATGACAGTAGTGGCGATAATAGAGAGCGGTCGGCTACTCCACCCCGTAAAGTGGTTAAAGTTGGTGGTTGGACAGCGAAAAAGAAAGGTAATACCAAAAACGTTCATCGTCAACAGTCTTTCAGGGAAGTTTGGCTGAAAGATCCAATGTTCCGGGATTGGCTTTTGCCCGATTCAAATGACACTTGTAGGGCCAAGTGCAAGTTCTGTCCACTCTCCTCAATGGTTGCTGAGTTAAGCAATTTGAAAGCTCATGCCGCAACCACAAAGCATAAAAATAATATCCCTGGTTCTTCGTCCGGACCTCAGCGGCAGTTAACGTCATTAGGGTTTCAAGTAGGCAAAAAACCTGACAATGTTGATAAAAAAAGAGCAGAAATCAAATTTTGTGCCTTTTTTGCTGAGCATAATATACCTTTTTCTGTAGCTGATCACTTCTCCGACCTTCTCAAAGAATGCATTACAGATTCTTCTATTGTAAAAGAAATAGAGCTTAAACGGACAAAAATCACAGCAATAACAAAAAATTTAATTGGCAACGCTCAGAAAGCCAGCATAACTGAAAAATTAAAGAAACAGTTTTTTTCTCTATTAACTGACGAGACCACCGACATATCTACAGTAAAAACTGCTTGCATAGTCGTGCGATATTTCGATGAAGATGCTCAAAGAATTTGTAGCGTGTTTTGGGAGCTTCATAACTTATTTATTCAAAATCAAACTGATATGATTCAATCAGCTAACGCAGAGACGCTATATACTGCACTGATTCAGTCATTTACAAGTCGTGATGTCCCTCTAAAAAATATGATCGGCTTTGCATCTGATGGCTGTAATGTCATGATGGGAGATAATAACTCGGTGAAAACCCGACTCCAACGTGATTTACCAGGAATCACGATCGTTAAATGTGTTTGCCACTCGGCTCATCTGTGCGCAAGCGAAGCCTGCAAGAAACTTCCAGAATCTATTGAACAAGTTGCAAGAGATATTTACAATTTTTTCAAACACAGTGACAAACGACTCTTTAGTCTTCGTGCCTTCCAAGATTTTGTGAATGTTGAACCACACAAAATTCTTAAACCATCGCAAACCAGATGGCTGTCGTTATCAGCAGTTGTGTCTAGAATACTGGAACAATGGGACGCTTTGCGTTTGTTTTTCATTGATTTCACAACAAAGGCGAACAGAGAGAAAACTGATGTAATAAATCGAGCAGTATCGATTCTAGAAAAACTATGTGATCCGTTTTATCGCATGTACTTCTATTTTCTGGATTGGGCGCTTGTGCTATTTACAAGATTCAATTTAGAATTTCAAAGAGAAAACGTAGTGGTGACCAAGCTTCACGACAAGATATGCGAACTTTATAAAGAAATTCTGCTACGGTATCTTAGCTACGGGTACGTTATGGGAAGAGAGCTTATTCAAGTCAACCCAGAAAATGATCAGTTCCAATTGACGGACGACCAAATGTACCTTGGAGTTAAAGTATACGAGATGTTGAACAAACCGGAAATAATAGCTAAACCCGTGCAAATAGCGTCATTTAAGTCAAACTGCAGATCATTTCTAAAGGTAACGTAATTTATTTTGTCGGTATGGAATAAGTACTTTATGGGTTACTGTGTCATACATGTTATTTTTATTTTCAGACTGCTGCTTTGGAGATTCGCAAAAGATATGACATGGAAGATCCAGTACTTTCTAAGTTAAAAGTTTTTGAACCAAAGTCAGCCTTATCCATCAACTTCAGAAACCGTTTCCCAACCCTGATGCCAGTTATGGCGGTTGTACCTCGCATTGTATCACCTTCCGATAACATCTCCAAACAAGAAATAGATGACCAATGGAGAAGACTGCCTATAGCCACGGCTTGTCATCCTGAAGGCATTTGTGATGTAAGTGAGCCGGACAAGTTTTGGGCCCTATTAACAAAGACGGAGTTTCATGAATTGGCCATCTTTGCATTAGCAGTATTATCTGTTCCACACGCTAATGCCGATTGTGAACGTGTGTTCAGTAAGACTAACCTTATCAAGACCAAATTGAGAAATAGGCTGATAACTGAAACGGTCAATGGCACATTGCTTGCGGCAGAATGCGTAAAGGGACCTGACCGAAAGGGTTCTTGCGTTAAATTTGAGCCGACAGATTTTATGCTGAGCAGAATGAACGCTGAAAACTTGTATGGAAAAAAAAAGACAGCCACACAGGAAGATGATACAGATGATGCTCCAGATGATATAATATTTGACTATTCAGTGCATCAGCTGTAGTTTTTCTGTGCGTTTTGTTTTGCTCTCTGTTGCATTGTTTTTTAATGAAAAAATATAGTTTATTTTGATATAATGTCTATCTTTTATTAATAATAAGTAATCTTGTTTCACAATAAAAATTTGGTAGTAAATTAATGGTATAATGCATTTTTTTTTATGGTTTAATGATGTGTACGAGGTCGTGTTGCCAAAGTACGAGATTTTGGACCATGTCTGTACGAGGACAAGCCATCGACGTCTGGCAACCCTGCACAGCGCGCTCCGCCACCAGTACGGCCCACGATTTCTTAAGCGACACACGTGCAACTCGCTGCCGACGCCGCGGTTTATTTTTACGAAAATATATACATCGTTGAGATCACATAAGTTTTATTATTTATATAGTGATTAATTGCGACAACGCGAACACTATACTGGTGACCCCGAAGTGATAAGAGTAAAAAAACTACACGCCACGCGGTCTTAGCACTTTTGCCATGCAAGGCGAAAACGGTGGGGACACGGACAATATGGAAAAAGGTGCACATGAAATTTTCAAAGTTGGAATTAAAATACCACCAAATGTTTACGCCGCTACATCGTCCTCAGCTAACCAACATGCTGGAAATCCTTCAGACCACTACCTCACCGTTTTAGAAAGCTTGGCCAGGCAAGTTAACGAATTAACCAAGCAAGTTGCTTTCCTGAGCATGAATAATAGCCGATCAAGCAGATCACCACAACGTAGGTATAACAGATCAAGATCTCACTCACGCTCCACCCAAAGATGGAAGGAAAACAAAATGAATAGCGTGTGTTACTACCACAGAAAATTCGGTGAAGGCGCCATAAAATGTCTCACGCCCTGTTCCTACAAGACTTTAAACGCGAACGGCAGCCTGTAGTGGCGGCTAACGACTGCCTAACGCATACTCCTAATGACCGCCTCTTCATCGTCGAAAAGAAAACTAAACTGAAGTACTTGATAGACACGGGATCTGACGTTTGCGTTTTTCCTAAGTCGGCGACCAGAGACCAGCGTAATAAAACTAAATATGAGTTATACGCTGCCAACAACACTATCATAGCTACGTATGGCTACATATCCTTACACCTGGACCTCGGACTTCGCCGGGACTTCACCTGGAGATTCGTAGTTGCGGACGTCACACGACCCATCATTGGTGTTGACTTCTTGGGCCACTACAACCTATTAGTGGACTGTCGTCGTCACCGCCTCATCGACGGCCTCACAAGTTTGTCCGTCAACGCGCCACGCTGCGCCAACATTGCTGTGGAAACGGTGACCATCAAAACAGTTGCTGGAAACTCCGACTTTCACGACTTACTTCGCAACTACCCAGATGTAACGAAACCTACTGGAAAGCCAAAAGAAACCAAGCACCAAACGAAGCATCATATACGTACTACCCCTGGTCCACCAGTCGCAGCTCGTCCCAGACGTTTAGCCCCAGATAGACTGCTTATTGCGAAAAAAGAGTTTGAAGAGATGTACGCAAATGGAACAGCTCGTAGATCAGAGAGCCCATGGTCGTCTCCCTTACATTTAGCCAAAAAGAAGGACGACGGTTGGAGACCATGCGGCGACTATAGAGCACTTAATGCCAGAACCATCCCTGATCGATATCCAATAAGACAGATTAATGACTTTGTTTACCAGCTGTCTGGAGCTAAAATATTTTCAAAGATTGACCTGATTAAGGCCTACAATCAGATACCTGTCGCGAATGAGGACATACCTAAAACAGCCATAACGACACCATTCGGACTGTTCGAATTTCCGTATATGACCTTTGGTTTAAGAAACGCTGCTCAAACCTTCCAAAGATTCATCGATGAAGTTCTTCAAGGCCTGGAATTTACATATGGGTATATTGACGACATCCTAGTATTCTCGAAGACCAGAGAACACCATCTTCAGCACCTTAAAACTGTCTTCGAACGACTTAACCAGTATGGCATCTTAATAAACACCTCTAAGTCCATATTCGGCATTAACGAAGTAACTTTCCTCGGCTACAGCGTCTCGACTGAAGGCATACGCCCCCTCAAAGAGAAAGTGGAAGCAATTACCAACTACCCACAGCCGAAAACAGCAAAACAACTCCGACGGTTCCTGGGAATGATAAACTACTACCGGAAATTCATCCCTGATGCAGCAAAGATACAGGCTCCTCTGAACGATGCCCTAACAGGTAACATCAAAGGAAATGCACCTATCGATATGACTAACCTTGTAACAGCTTTCAATGAGTGCAAGCGCAGCCTATCTCAAGCCACTCTTCTTGTCCACCCTGAAATCAACCTGGATCTAGCCTTATTCACAGATGCTTCAGACGACTCCATCGGCGCTGTCTTGCAACAAAAACGAAAAGGCAACTGGGAACCCTTGGGATTTTTCTCTCGTAAACTGACGACATCGCAAAAAAAATATAGTCCATACGATAGGGAGCTACTGGCCATATACGAAGGTATCAAACACTTTAAATATATGTTGGAAGCAAGAAACTTTTGCATTTACACCGACCACAAGCCCATCACCTACGCCTTCACAACAAACAGAAGCCAGTGCTCTCCAAGACAATTCCGCTATCTTGACTACATATCTCAATTCACCACCGATCTAAAATACATCCCCGGGAAAGACAACATCGTCGCTGACGCCCTATCACGTGTAGAAGAGATTGTCACTATAAATTACGACGCACTTGCAAGAGATCAGGCTCAAGACCCTGAATTGCAAGCTTTGCTAACCAAAAACACAGCACTACAACTGAAACGGATTGCTGAAAACCAGCTGTACTGCGATTTTTCCACCAAATCGCCTAGACCGTACATAACACCTGCCTATCGCAAACGCGTTTTTGAAACCATACATCAACTCAGCCATCCAAGCGGCCCTACCACTGCTAAAATGGTAGCTCAAAGATTTGTGTGGCCCGGAGTAAGACGCGATTGCAAAACTTGGGCAAAGGAATGCGTAGACTGCCAACGAAGTAAAGTCAACAGACATACGAACGCACAATTTACAACCTTTCCAGTACCATCAGAACGTTTCGCCCACGTACACCTGGACATTATAGGCCCATTACCATACTCTAATGGCTTTAGATACTGCCTGACAGCAATAGACCGCTTCACACGTTGGCCTGATGGCTATCCACTAGCGGATATTACAGCAGAAACTTGTGCTTCCGCGTTCATTACCAACTGGGTATCTCGTCATGGATGTCCACAAACTGTAACAACAGACAGAGGCTTACAATTTCAATCACAACTCTTCCAAAGCATCACCAACCTGATCGGCGCAGAACATCGTCCCACCACCTCATACCATCCGCAATGCAATGGAATGGTGGAGAGATTACATCGCCAACTAAAAGCAGCCATCATCTGTCACAACAACCCACAGTGGACTGAAACACTTCCCCTAGTGCTACTAGGAATAAGAGCTGCCTGGAAAGAAGATCTGCAGGCATCAGCCGCCGAGCTAGTATATGGAGAACCACTAAGACTACCGGGACAATTTTTCTCAACTTCGCTTGACCAGAACCTAAATCCAGCAGACTATACAGCTCGCTTGAGAAATCATATGGCAGCATTAACCCCAACTCCTGCATCAAACCACAACAGTAAAACATTCTATTTGCCGAATGACATACATACTGCACAGTTTGTTTTTCTTCGCCGTGGTCCCGCAAAACGATCGCTTGAATCACCATATACCGGCCCATATAAAGTTCTGAAAAGAAATACAAAAACATTTTCATTAGACATAAAAGGCAAAGAAGTTACAGTAACAATAGACAGAATAAAACCAGCTTACCTTACGAAAGAAAACAGAGAATACGACACGACCATTCGTCCACCGATGACCGCACTGCCGCTCCACACCAATCACGATGCACCGCCACCTGAAAAAAAGACTAGAAGTGGAAGATTAGTTAAGTTTCCGGACTACTATCGACCGTGAAACGGTCTCGGCAGGGGAGTGATGTGGCGTCCTCGTCGTCATTGGTAGCTGAAATAAAAATTACCAAAATAAATTATATATTAAATTACAAAAAATGCACTTACCAACTTCTACGTACAGACCGTGTCTATTGTTCTCCGCGGCAGGCGGGGGGACGAGGCACGCGCATTCCACAGCGCGCTCCGCCACCAGTACGGCCCACGATTTCTTAAGCGACACACGTGCAACTCGCTGCCGACGCCACGGTTTATTTTTACGAAAATATATACATCGTTGAGATCACATAAGTTTTATTATTTATATAGTGATTAATTGCGACAACGCGAACACTATAAATGTATTAGAAAATATTTCAATAAAATAAAATATTTGAGAAATTCTTCGCAAGCGTAAATTGCCCAATACAAGGGTGTGCGCTTGTTGTAAATTGTGTCAATTTGAAACTCAGCAATTGAGACGTCGTTTCCGATACATATCTATTGGCCATCTAAAGGGGAGATTTTGTATTACTTTTTCCCGTCTTTTGTATGTTTTAAATGGAATTTCTTGTTATTTGAGGTAAAATGTAAGGATATTGAACTGAGTTTCAGATATAGATGTAACATAGGTTTCCTAACGTTTTTAAATTATTATTATAAATCGTCTGTGCTAAATTTAATTTAACGTTACGATCTAGTTTTAACACTAATAAGTCATTTGAAACTAACCTGATATACTAAAAAGGTACTACAGTCTCCATAAAGGCACTCTGTTCTTGTGTACTATATTTTTTTCCACTGTTTAACACTTAAGACTAACGTGCATATGAATTAGAATGATTTGTCCTTTTTGATGGCCGTGGCGTCAATGAGTTGAACAGCCCTGCGATTCTGTAACTCACACACAGCTTCGACATTCATTCATTCGTCATTGCGTGTTGTTCCCACGAGAATGTAAGTGCGTGCTCCTATTTCACCATGCCTCCTGCTGATAGGATGACAAATCTTTGCTTTTAATTTATTTTATTTTTATGACATATGTCAGGAACAGAAAAAGCTGATCACTTAATTGTAAAAAAAATATCAAAGAAACAGGTGCAATAAACGCCACTGATTTATTATTATTCTGTGTACATATCATTTGACTATATAAACAGGACAGATTTCCAGAGCGAAAAACCAAGTATTTTATTGCCTAATCTAGATTTGAATGGCACACTTAACTATTGCTTAGTTAGAATTAATACGATCAAGTTTCTAATAAAAGCGGGGTAACGCAGTCGCAAACCTGCCAATATCCAAGGGCGGAAGTTAAAAGCTTTGAAGTTTTACCTATCTTTTTATTGAGGACTGAACTTAACTTTGAATTAAACCTTACTTTGATAACATTTTATCACACGTATTTGTCCAGTTAAATAAATAAACAATTTAAACTGGACTTGCAAAGCACATAATAATAAGTCGGCTAAAGCTTTTAGGCCTCAGCTAGGAGTAAGCTTCTGAAAAGGGCACATATGATTCGCTTTAGTCAACGAATTACATAGTAAACTTTTTTTGTCCGTTGAGTGAACTGACAAAAGTTCTATTATTTCTTAGTGCCTTTAGTAGTTGGGTAATTTTTTGTATATTTTTATTATGTAATTTTGTTTTTCGTAATTGATTTCTTTTGTAAATTGTTTCATGTTTAAATTTTATCTATCATTTGTTGTGTATTCTTGTCGATTTAGGATCACCTGTTAGGACAGTATTATGTTTTTTTTATAAATAAATCAAGTCCGTACTGTTGCACATAGTATTGTCTTTTATTGACATTTACCCGGAGTTGGTATCGAGTCGATACCAACTCCGGGTAAACAAATACAGATAATACAACTTTTTCTACAGCTGTGATACTTTTTGACATTCAGTCAAAAGTTTAATTGTTCAGTTTAATTGTCTTCAGACACCGTGACCACGCACGCTGTAAAGCACGCGAAACGTCGGTTAAATTTAAAATTATGAAAAATAATTGTAAATACATAAGTTCAATCCGGTAAAAAATTGTTTTATTATTAAATAAATAAAACTATTTTAAATAAAGAACACTTCAAAAAATCAAATCGACAAAACCACAAGCTCAGTTACATCAACACATCAAATAACAAGATCAGACATGTTTATCTGAAGGGAACATCAATAACGCCCCCTACCCCCCTTCCCCCAACCCCACACGTGCCATTACACGAGCAAAAAGATCACATTTGATATACATCAAGAATCGAACATTAGGCACCGTTTTTCTTCGCTTAGGGAAAAATACGGGTGGGAAGATTGTTCTAAGACGCGCAGTTAATTATAATGAATCTACGACAAGGTGACAATTTCAGTATGGAAATGAATATTACGAAATTCGTGTTAGCTTATTTAATAAAATATACTCAGAGGTATACATTACTCGTAATTGTTTCGACTAGAAGGGTTCTACTTCCTACAAATACAAATGAGGCAGATTCAAAATTTATTGGCTTGACTTATAGAATTAAAATATGTATAGAAAAAATAAGTAGGCATTAAGTAACGAATAGGTATCGCAATACAGCGAGGAAATGCCAGTTTAAAGGTACTGCCACAGCGACCAAACTTTTAAAATTTGTTTTAGTATAGGTATTTGTCTATTTTTTAATTATTATTATTACTATGTAGATAAAGAATATTGTTAATACTGTCCTGTGTTGTTATAGAAATGACGATGATGTGGCATTCTTAATAAGGTCTTAAACGGAGACTGATTTTAATTGAAATATGTAATTTTTGTGTAATTTTAGCAACGCACTTGCGAGCACTCTGGCAATGAGTGTGTCAATGGGCACATACCAGTAGCTCGTAAAATCAGTTTGGTCTCGTGCCCGTTTGCGCCCAGTTCTAAATAAAAAAAAACTTTTGCGTACAGGAATTTAGTTGCCCGTTACCTATTATCGACCGTATGTTTTCACCATCACACATACAGAAAACGTGAACCGTTTCCCATCTTCGTTTCAGTTTTCCCTACACCCTTTACAAGGAATTGTAAAAATAAAATCAAATCGCGTCTCAATTTGCGTCCGCCCCGAGCGATGTCAAATTGGAATATGTTACCTTAAGTGGTCTTTGATTGTTGTTCAATCAATTTGATCTTTTTGCGAAGTATTTTTGGAAGATATTGTATGAGACTTGCGTGTTACTCGTGAAACTTTCTTGAGAGAAGACTTAGCAGAAGAGCAGTGTTGGCCTAGTGGCTTCAACGCTTTCTGTCGCAGGTTCGAACCCCAACACCAACGCACTTATCTGTTATTTAACACAAGCTCTTATTGTTAGCTGATTTTTTATGACGAAACAGATACAGAAATTCAAGGGTTATTGACTGAGTTCGTGACCTCAAATCGTGTAGTTGTCAACGCCCTCGAAGCAGGGGTCCCACGCGGGAACCACTGGATAGTTTACGATGGCAAAGTGTACTTGAGGGGGCTAAGGCCCAGAAGGCTGTATAACCGTTAATGGTGATGATGATCATGGTCATGCGTTCGATAAGTATAAGTATTTCGTTATCTTCGTGATAAACTTCGTAGATTAAAATGAATAAACATGAATTTCCCATTTCATAGAAATCTGTACCAAAAGTCGGGAATTCGGGGCATTTGTAGATTGACAGATCAGGCGAAATAATACATTCCAAGAAGGATCCAATATAAATAGTTGGCATATTGAATTATTTATTTTGTTGCATTGGGGTGGAACGCCTACGACTGGTTAAAAATACGACTCGTAATTTTCTCTTAATAAAAACTTTTAGCTCTGATTTCCACATTTATTTGTTTTTTCTAATTGGCAAGTAGATCAGCCTTCTGTGCCTGACACTCAGCGTCGGCTTTTTTCCGGACGATTGTTTTCTTGACAGTTCCGCAGAGAGTTAAATGCGGACATAGAAAGGAAAGTTCGACAGTCGGGGATTGAATCTACGACCTCAGACATCAGAGTCGCACGCTGAAGGTTCTAGGCCAACCCAATGTGCATTCAAGAGTAAATATTTGAATTTTGCAACAAACAAACTCAAAAGCTACTGCACCTAGAGGAGATAGATTTTTTTAAAGAACAGAGTAGCAAACGGGCAGGAGGCTCACCTGATGTTAAGTGATACCGCCGCCCATGGACACTCTCAATACCAGAGGGCTCGCACGTTGCCGACCTTTTAAATATTGGTACTCTGTTATTGAAGGACCCTAAGTCGATTTGGTTCGGAAATACTTCAGCGGGCAGCTGGTTCCACATAGTGGTAGTGAGCGGCAAGTGCCTTAAATAACACTCAGTTGTATAATACCTTTTTAGTTCTGGGCCTCAGATTTCTGTATCTATTTCATGTTCATTTATCAATCTAAAAGGCAAGCAGATGATCAGCCTACAGTGCCTGACACACGCAGTCGGCTTTTTAATTCTAAGACATGGAGGTTGCCTGACGATGTTTTCCTTGATAGTAACTGTTTATTAATTAGTGTTATAAAGTGATTATTAATTAATAACATAGTAAATTTTCAAGCTTCTTATATTCGGTTTACTTACCTGATACAAAAAAATACTGTATTTTGTACAAGGCACCTAAATTAGTATGGGGAAGTATAAACTAATAATACTTACTTAACAAAAATCGTTATTAGGAATGTTGAAGAACAAAAAAAAGTTCCCAACTAGAGCGTAAAACCGAAAAATAAACTTTCATATAACTGTAACTGAATTGGAGAGTAAAATTCAAATTTCGAATTCCGTTTAAAACTTCCATCTCGTAAATGCTCCAGTTTCCGCTGGAAGTAGCTAGAGTTCGAAATTCAAATTCGAAAAATACGCTCCTTTCCGCTTCCGGCGTTTGATTCCTCCCGTGATACGACGTTTCCTCTGCTGTATTTGAATGAGGTCTTACAGTACGGTTCTTGTATTTGGCACTATAGACTAATTCATTTTAAATAATTATGAATATTAAACAAAGAAAATGAAACAGCTGTTTATATGCAAAAAAACATATACAACAATTTATCACTATATCCTTAGAAAGAAGATAATCACTTAACTTATCTGCTGATAAGTATATCTTATCTGTACAGACAGTGACGTCTGTAAAAACAAATGATAACAACGCAAATTATTTAAAATGCACCTAAAATGATAACAGCTCACATTACCTGTACTTAAATATCGTTATTTTTCATCTTTCAATACAATTATTATAAATATTTATAGAAAAATTTTTTTTATAGAACAGGGGACAAACGGGCTGGGCTCACCTGATGTTAAGTGATACCCATGGGCACTCTCAATGTCAGGGGGCTCGCGAGTGCGTTGCCGGTTTTTTAATAATTATTGATACGCTCTTTTTTGAAGGAAAAGTTGTATTGGTTCGGAAATAAAAATAAAGATATAAGATAGTGTCTAATACACTTGCCTAAATGGAGAGTACACAAACTAGCGATGCAGAGAATGTATGGCGGCAAGCGATGTGTTTCAACGAAACATTGCTCTTGGAGATTGGAAAATTATATCGCACATAAATTCATGTTAGGAACACTACTCTAGGTATTTCCCCGCGATTTAATACGTATTGAATGCTTGATAATATCAGATAACGTTGAACAGTTCATATCTTTTGAAGGCCGGCAACGCACTTGCGATCTATTGCGTTTATTAATAGAATTCGACTTAGAGTAATTGAAAAGAGTGTACCAATTCTTAAAAGGCTGGTAACGCACGTGAGCATCTGCAGTGCCCATGAGCTGTATTTTATATTAACAGATCTTTAATTTAGGCATACTGGCTGTGTTTGAAGTGATGACTGGGTAAAAAATGTTAAACTCGCGTCAGGACACGTGACCTGATCGAAAATTCCTAAGACGGATGGAGAGTAGACAGCTGGCGCGGCGTATTTAATGTAATATAAATTGTCATGTTTGAGTACGATAGCGCAATAAATAAATATTGTATTCTACCACATAAATGATAGTACTTTTATACTGATAATTAAAGCAATTCGTGCAAAATTATTCCCTAACCATTCCAAAATATCAAAAATGCACAACGTTAATATTCAAGTTTTCACTTCTGCCGGCACTCCCGGAGTGCAACCAGTCGTTTCTTTATATCCGAGGTGGAAATTCATTTACGTACCCCTGCCCTGAAAGAGGTGATCTCTGCTATTCAGAGACTGGGTGTGTAATACCCACCAAAACCACCTCGGTATGCCAAAGCCGCGTTAAAGGGGCTCCGGAATCGCTCTCACACTCTACCAGGACCTAAACGATGGGGCGTTATTTTTATAGAACAAGAGGCAAACGGGTAGAAGGCCCATGGACAATCAATGCCAGAGGGCTCGCGAGTGCGCTGTCGGCCTTTTAAGAATTGGGACCAAATAGAATTGGTTCGGAAATATATCGGTGGGCTGCTGGTACCACATTGTGGTGGTGCGCGGCAAAAACTGCTTTAAAACGCTCAGTTGTGGAACGACCAACGTCGAGGTGATACGGATGGTATTTCGTATTCTGCCTGGACGTCCGATGATGAAACTCAACTGCAGCTGCGTTCATCAGCTTTGGTAAGTATAATAGCTTATTATTTCTCATTTTTATTTGAGCTTTTACCATATTTGACAAAGCTTAAGCGGAGATCGTGACTTCAGAAAAGTATATCTTAAGGTAATCTAAGGGTGAATCATATACTTAGACTGCTCTATTAACTTCAGTAAAACAGTCGGTATTATAGAGCAAATACAATCTCTCCTAGTGTTGGCTTAGCTTAATCTCAAGTCCAGAAATCACACACCAAAAATGACTATAATAACAAAAATATGGCCAAAATTTGCTTTACATCATATCTTTTACTGGACTTTTTATTTTTGTCGGTTTTTAATGAACGTTTGCCATTTTGTATCGAGTTCCATAGACTTTGGGAAAAATAGAATTTGAATTCAAAGAAATTATAAATGATCTTGATAAATACCTATGAAATGCATGAAATAAAATAATTAACATTATTATGGTATTTATTGTTGTTTATTTATATTATTTATGTAATTGTTCAAACCCATTTGAAAATTTAAAAATAACTGTGTGATTTTGTATGTCACCTGCAGCCCTGCAATTGGCATATTATAGTGACAACGAAATTCAAACTATAACCTAACCAAAACATTGCGATCCGTTCTACGTAATAAAATTATTGTCATCTTTAAATAATTAATACATTTTCTAAAGGTTACTCGTAATTTCTAGTATTGCAATAATAAAATAAATAATACATAATACAATAAATTGAAGTATATGTGTACCGTTTTAGATTTTTAAATATTTGTTATTGTTAACTTTTTTAAAGGATAATAAACAAAGTATTGATGAAATGAAAAAATTTGTATTTTGACATTTTTGTCTTAGCTTGGGCTTAGCTTAATCTCACTTAAAATGTCTATAAATACGAAATCATAGTTTAACTTAGTGTACACTAAGCAAAGTTTTCGTAAGGTAAGTCTGAGCAAAGTCCAAGTCGCACTATAGATCTCACCCTAAGTCTTCATAAACGACTTTGAGTACGATATGTAATTATCGGTTACTGTTATAGGGAAGTATAGCCATAATTCCATTTATATGAACTTAAGATAAAGGCTGACGATAGTAAGGTCTTCTCTTTCTGTCGAATTGAATTTACGCTGTTTTGAAAAGAGACAAAAGAGTGCTTGTACGGTGGGATTAAGCCGATTTTGATAAAAGTCTTTACTTATATAAATAGTATATATTATCGGTCTTACTAATAAAAAATCTATGATAGTTATAACAAGGTGATAGTTATTCAGTGAATAGAGCTTGTACAGGGCATAAACACCTCTTTGACCATAATCGATTGTATTGGTTGAATAACTAAACGACGACTTATTTATTGTTACTTGGCAACCCGCCGTGTTTGATTGACGTTTGACTTAATAATTCTGATAGAAGTCATAATTCTAATGTAAGTTGTTATATTTTAGCAACAAAATTATATTCAGACAAAGAGGACTAGAATTTTACATAAAAAGCCCGTTCTGCAGTACAAAAGTTGGGAGAGGTTAGTATCAATGTGATAGAGAAAAGGACTATTTCATTCAAAAGCCCTCAACGATCTACTTAAATTTTTAGATCTCAAATAGTAGAAAGTGCCAAACTCCCAACCGGAGTGTTCAGTGTTTAGGAAGAGCATGAAACCAAATAAGGCAAATGGCTGAAACACATGAGCTCAAACAAAGCAACTTGCCGAAGCTCACAAATGGGCTAACAGGAGCATCTTCTAAGGCTCAAACTATTACAGCAGCAATTAAATGAATAATTATATACTTATAAAAAAATAAAACCCTTTTTAAATGAAATAGAACTTTTTATTTATTTCACGTCTAACTATCACACCTATGTAAATAAAACACTTTAAAAATATGTTTCAATAAAACAGCTCTAGCAGCTTGTCCAGCCTGATTGCTTGGGGCGTCTAGGTTGGCCTTGGTTCTTCTGGAGCATTCTCAGTGTCATCATACGTAACATCCACATCAACAACATCAATAGCAATATTGTGGAGGATTGCCAGTGCTACTATATATAATTTGGCATTTTCTAAAGACACTGAGAAGCCATGAAGAAGACACCTAAATCGAAAACCACCACCTCTTTACTCTTTTCGAATCAGTACTGTCACAGATCTTCA